TATGTGTTTATGTAATGTGCACATTATGAATCACTGTCTTAATTTAATGAGAGAGTTTGAATGTAATTTCAATGTTGAAATGAGTATTAATGTAGCAAACGTATTAATACAATATTAACGTAGCAATAAGAATCACTCTAGTAATGTGAATGTAATGTGTAACATTCCAACGTAAGATTTTCTATACTTTGCGTTTGTGAAACATGCGTATTATGAATCACTGTATTAATTGTAATAAAATAATCTAGTAACGTGTATTAATGTAGCAATTGTAGCCAATGTAATGCAATGTAATGTTGGCTTTAGATTTCAGTAGTGGCCCTCGTGGGGCACCGGGGTGTGTGGTTCTTCTAGATAGTTGCGGGATCCGGACAAGATCTGAATAGTCTTTGTAAGCCTCCAGGGTGTCCGGACCCTGCTTTCACCTGTCACCTTTCCTGAATACCTAAGGACCTTCTTTTTGTTGTCCCCCTTTCCTTGATGCCCTAAGAGTCTGCTTATGCTGTTTAATGATTAATCCAGCCCTGGTTTTAAATCAATGAATTCAGTTCACTGTGATAAAAATAATAGGAATCTTAAAGGCATTTAAGCATATAAAAATATCTTAAAGGAATTTGCATACAAAAATTAGTAAACACTTCGACAACCTTTGATGGATCTGCATTTCGAGGAAGACAAATTAGGGTATTTCCTTAAAACATATAAATCGCCTGGTTATTAGTAATAGAAGACCACTGACATGAAAATGTTAGAAAAATACCTTGCTATCCATTCTTAGGTTTTTAGTTTATGAAAAGATGTGGTTGGTTTTCTCCGCATCGTAAAGTGTCCGTGATGCCAATGACTGCTAGGATGGTCGAATCTGTAGGGGTTAAACATTACCTATCCATTTATGCTTCTTTTGAATTTTCTAGCAATACTGTAAAAGATAAAAATCACGTGATGGAATTTTAAAGATATAACTGTAAATTTATCGTCTGTGATTTGACTTCACTGAGCGCAGCAAACTCCGGTAACGGTTTTTCTTCTGTATGAACATGTGCTAATGTTGTTATTGAAAAGAATGACTCATCGCTGTGTAACTGAACCATACGACACACTCCCCTATATAAAAGGACAGATCTGGAGATCACCGGCCAGTTTGCAGCTTTTTCGAAAAATCTCTAAAGCAAATGGATAAGTTTCGCACATTTTAAAAACTTTTCAACTCATCAGATCGCTATATTAGATGGTTACGATAAGTAAAATTCATACGTTCAACACTTTCGACTCCAGCCATTTTGATCATATAATTATCCACGAGAAGCACGGTGGCATAGGGAATCTCCAAATCCCAGTTGCCGCTGTTAGCCTAGAGTAACTTGTAGAATGTAGGTTGTGTTCCAGCTATCCTCTGTCCGATGCTTTTCAGAGCGATTGAAGTGAGTAAAGTTGGTCCCATAGAATAGGATGGAAATTGCAAAGAGCGTGACTGTTGTCACGCTGTAGCCACTAGACATCTCGTTGGTGTAGAGCTCTCTAGAGTAAAATCGCTGAAAATCATTAATTACATATCATACGAACAGAAATTAAGCAATACAAAATAGAATAGTTGCAGGTAGCGTTCCATAAATGATAGTTACATATATACATGTAATAAGAAATGACGAGTATTCAAAAAGCTCAGTTAAATACTATAACTGGTAACCATAAACCCTAAGAGTTTTCGTATTTCCAGATTTGGCGAGGTTTCGCGACACTTGGCCAGTTTGGAGCGTTTTCGAAAAATCTCATTGAGCAGTTCGAAATCAAAGGTATTTTTTATAATGCAGATCTAAACAACAAGCATAAATAAGCCGGTTAATAATAATAAACGAACATATTTTATAAGTCTTACGTTCGTTTATCTCCATCTGTATGGCAATATGAACTGATTTATCTGTAACTAGCGACCCGCTCCGGCTTCGCACGAGTATAAAATATTAATGGATATTTTAACAATGAATTGCAGTTCATAATCTTTTTCTGAACTTACATACCTCACCTTAAATTACGATTTTTGAAAATAATTTCCCTGATATTAAATTGATTTAACTCTAATTTTTAACCAAGATCTTAATAGAAAATTCCAATCCTTAAATTATGGTTTTATTTAATCTAATCTTATCTAACCTTATGTACTTATAATTACTATAAGTGCGATTTAAAAATTCATCTACCTTAGAATAGAATATCATTTATATTTTAAAACTACTACCATACAATTATTTATCGTAACTTCATAATAACTGATACGTTGTCGTTATTATGAAGTAAATAACTGATACGTTGTCGCGCTGAAAAACACGTATTTATTAAGTATATTGTTGTTTTCCTCGCTAGAGTGCTCCGATAATAAACGCGTCCGATCGCTGCTAAATTCAAAGTGCTATAGAGAGAACCGCGGCCTTCCGACGCGCTATTTATAGGCACGCTCCCGCCTCCCCGGCCGGCCGGTACCGCCGCAAATGCTACGTCCCGCAATTTTTAAATCCGTAGACCTTTTCAAGTGTGTACAATACTTAGTACATTATTTTGATAAATCTCGTAGGGTTCAGCCTGCTTTGCAATGTAAGCGGAAAAACAAATGTAATTATTTACGACATCACATTAGAGAAACCTAAAAAAATAACAGTATTTCTCCACTATTTAATGGATGTTATTATACATATAAACCTTCCTCTTCCATCACTCTATCTATTAAAAAAAACCGCATCAAAATCTGTTGCGTAGTTTTAAAGATTTAAGCATACATAGGGATATAGGGACTAAGAAAGGGACTTTGTTTTATACTATGTAGTGAAGTAACTGACGGAAAGAAACAATGTATTAGAAGTACCAAGTAAATATAAATAAAACGCAGAATTATCATAATACTGAAATGCTACAGACTGTTGGCTGGAGAACTAAATTTATTGGTGAACTGATGGTAACAACGCGGGAATTTCTTATATGTTTACTCAGCCTGTTAGCCAGGGATAAAAACATACATCCACACACAGAACGTATTTTATTCTCGAGTGTCAAGATGTAGGAACATCTTTTTACTCGACTTCTGATAAGAAACGGGTGGGGGGAGAAAGAGTAGGGTGGAATGAGTGTGGGAGGCGGAAAAAAGAGAGTAAGGTCCGCACTAGTGGCGGCGAAAAAAAATGGCTGGCAAGTTCAATGTCGTTATAAGATGTAGCCGCGGGTGATAAACCGCACAGTCAGTTTAGCGTGAATGAGCCAATTAAGGTCATAATTCTTATGTGGGTAGGATGTCACATGGGTACCAATGTTTTTCTCTGGGATGCGGGGAGTGTCTGAGAGCGCTAATAAGGCTATTACTGTGGGTTTGTACTGAATAAAAGAAGTTGACCGCTAATCGTTTAATATACTCTTGAATAAGTTCGATTTCGAAGTTCTCTGTTGAATATAGATGTTGTTTAGAATATACCAAGGAGCATTGACAATTTCTCGTAGAATTTTATTTTGTAGAAATTTGTAATTGTTTAATATTGGTTTTAGCTGCATGTCCCCAGATCGGTGCTGCATGAAGGAGAGCTGGGCGAAGTATGGAGCGATATAGAATTAATATGTTCGTGGTAGATAAGTTGCTTTTTCTACCAAGAAGAGGTCGCATAGTAGCTGTGGTGATTTTAAATTTTTGTACTACGGACCGAAAGTGGGCTAAAGGTAAGTTTTTGTCAAAGGTGACTCCAACGTATTTGGTTTCATTAATCCAGTCTATTTCTTCGTCAAATATTTCAGGGGGTGGAGGATAGTATTTCATGTTTCCTTTACGGAAAATTATTGCCTTAGTTTTATCAGTGTTAATTTTAATCCTCCAAAGGGTGAGCCATTTTTCCAGTTTTATGAGATAGTTTTGGAGTTGGTTTCTTACAGCGATAACTGTGCAGGCTTTAGTAAGTATGGCAGTGCCATCGGCAAAGAGTGCAAGATGAACAGAAGGGTCTTTAGGGATGTCTTGTGTATAAATATTAAAAAGGTACAGCGAACGTGCCGACCCCTGTGGGGGACCAGCATTGATTACTCTGGTGGTAGAGTAAGCAGTACCGATTTTGATTCTGAATGTTCTGTTGCTGAGAAAAGAGGCTATAAAGCGAATAAAATTATCTGAAAAATTGAGAGTGATTAGTTTGTAAATAAGGCCTCGATGCCATACCCTGTCAAAAGCTTTCGCGATATCGAGGAATATAGCACCGGTCGGAAGCTTGCAGTTGTATCCTTCACCTTCAGTGATAATGTTGATAACTCTAAGAAGTTGGTGGCAAGTGCTATGATGATTACGAAAACCGAATTGTTCTTCTGGGAGAAAATTCATGGAAGGGTGAATTTTTTGGATGTGGAAAAGTAGGATTTTCTCAGTAAATTTAGACAGATAGCTAAGTAAACTGATAGGGCGATAGTTCTGTGGGAAGGTTGAATTTTGTTACGGTTTAGCAAAAACAATTATTATAGCTTGCTTCCATGAGTTAGGAAAATGAGCGAATTTGATAATGTTGTTGATTATCTCAGTTAGGCAGGTAAGAGCGTTAATCGGAAGATGCTTCAGTGCTTTGGTCGACGTGCCATCGTGCCCTGGGACTTTCTTCGTTTGTAAGGCGCTGATGGGGTTGGCAACAATGGTTGGGGTAGTGACGAAAGTGAAGCAAAAGCCTCATCCTATTCAATTCCCCCTTCCTTTCAACAACATGCCATGTATATAAGCTCAGTCCATTTCTCTGTGTCTCTAGAACTTTAAATCTTTTATTTATAACAAATGCATAATTGAAGTGTATTCGCTGGCTGTGTAAAATTGCTTTTAGGGTCGGATGCAGCCAGCGGGCCGACAGTTTGAGACCTCTGGTACAGCATCTTATTTCTGTGACACGCATTATAATATAAAAGTACTGCTACTACTGTTTTCAAGGTAACCTTAACTGCGACCGGTAGCCGTTTAGTGTACTTTTGATATTAAAGGATACTACTGGTACTGTGTTTAATCCCTGAAATATAACTTGCGGTGTGCTTCATTAGTATGAAAATTAAATTTCCTTCTATTGTATCGCATATACTCATCTTTGTAGACTCTAACTTTCATCTGATATTGTGTTTCATTTGTATACGCTTTGTTAGGTGGGTTGGAAGGTGCCTTTTTAAATGCTGTTCTCATCGGCATGCGTTTCTTAAATCAGACGGTCTGTTTTTACCAATATCAGATGTTTACACGTGTTATGACTCATAGTTTTGTTTATCGGACTGCGTTTTTCAGATTTATTTTTAAATTGTTTTTTAATTAGTTTCTATTAGAAATTATGAATACTGTTATGCTAAGTAAATTTTAAATGTTTATATTATTATTAATGGAGTTTCATTATTAATAATAAATCGTTGAAAACCATGTATTTTTAGTATTTGTACGTAGCGTATTTATGATTTTTGTAGGCGAGAAAAAGGACAAAGTAAGGGAATATTTTAATGTTGAATTGTTTCATGAATTAAGGAAAACAATGATATTAGCTGGAAAAGTATTTTATGACCTAGGATTTATATTCCTTGAACATTTAACGCTATGATATATTTTGAGGAAGCTGTCGTTTGTTTAAATTTGCATATGAAATTTCGCTATGTATAAATAAAAGCGTGTGTATTTGAAAGTTTTAAGGATCTCTGTGTATGCATTATTTTACAGATTAAGACTGAAAACTGAGTTACTGCATGTCCAATTGTATTTTTACTTTTCAATAAGAATTTATTTTCACAAACATTTTCATCACTGATTCCCCAAATTACTTATATTATTTTGCTATGCATAATTATTTTACTATTAAAATTTTTAGAGAGAAATTTATACTAAAAATATACTGTGAATTCAATTGGTATTGTGTTCATATTCCTTACAGGTTATTTTAATTTTTATTTTAACATAAAATGTATATTTCTGCCTATTTCTTATTGTTATCTTTTTCTATTATTTCTATGTATTTAAAAGTGTTTATTTGTTTTCATTTGTTGATGAAGTTTTTTTTTCCTTTTGAGATCATATTTAACATGTGTTTGTAATTTGAAAATTAGTGTAACATAGAATTAGAGGAAGATAGGAAGAGTTTCCAGGTTGAAATTGAACTTAACAATTAACGTGAGATTCTTATGCTTTATGGAGTTCTCATTCTGTTTTACTGTTTTAAAACATTTAAGATATTTTTAACTTGGCTCGTATAATCTAATGATTATTTTAATTAATATATAATCTAGTGATTAATATCTAAAATGAACTTTCTTTTACAGAAGGATGCTTTTAAAGAGCTAGTTTATTACCATTTTCTGAATTGAAGCCAATGGCATTTTGTGTATTCACCCGCCATTCAACGTTTCTGCGGAGAATGGCCTCAACATCATTAGCTGGTAAAGTACGAAAACAACCGAGTTCTGATATGGCTGCTTTTAGGCAAGTATTTCAGAAAGCTCGTCATGTTGTTGCTCTGACCGGTGCTGGTATCAGTGCTGAAAGTGGCATTCCTACATTTCGAGGTGCTGGTGGTCTCTGGAGGAAGTATAATGCTCAGGTGAGAATTCTAGCTATCTGGAAAATTTATTTTGAAATGCATTAAATACCATGTATTTGATGCATTCATTTCTTAAATTAGTTATCTTAAATCTGTGATTATTTATTCAATAGCTATTGAAATTGCAGTCTTTTTTAAAATTATGCTGCATAAATCAGATAATTACTTATTTTTCACAATAAAGAGCAGAAATATGGTTTTGAACTGAAACTCTTTAATGCTCATACAAATGTATGTATATTTAAATATAATTTTTGTGTACTTGTATATATAAATGAAGAATATCAATCACTGTAAACCAGTTTATATTCAGTATTAGCAGCTTGGAAATAAAACTGTTAATGAGTCAGTTCAAAGTACATGGAGATACAAAAATTATAGAATATGCTTTTATGAAATCTGTTTTGACAAAAAAGTTTAGATCACTTTATTGTAGAAATAAAAGCCTTTTTTAAGGCAACATATTATGTGAAAGAGAAAGCTTTTTGCTGTCAAATATCTAACAGTTGCTGGTACTGTACTGAAAAGGCATAATTTTGCAAATTTGGTTGTGTCCTGAGTTGAAGGAGAGAATGGCTGCAATATTTACTGCTGATAGTGCAACTTTGAATTTTTTTAATATAAGCTATGATGTGTCTCCATTCTATAGATATGTTTCTGATGTGAAACATATCTTATTCCAGTAATAATGTAACTTAGAAATCATTGTCTTCCATAGTGAAATATAGAATGTAGTCTAGAAAAAAGAAAAACATTGCTTTCTATCCTTGCCATGAGGAATTTCGTGGGCTTGGGCTGACTATGTCAGACAAGTGAGCATAATGCTATAACAACAACATCATCTGCAGAAATTCTGTTTAATGCACTTTTAGTAAGTAGAAGGCTGTGGTTATATCAAAATCTTTGTGGTATTGTAAAATATATATATGAGAATATCATTTTTGTAGGTAGGCATGATGCCGAATGCAAGTAACATTTAAGTTAAGTATTGCACGTGGAAATAGGTATGAAATTGTTGCATTTATGCTATTCTTTTATCTGTGTATATGTAAGTAAAAATTCCAAGTGCTGGTTTTACAGAATATTAATGCATTGTATTTTGATAATGTAAGTTCAAATTAATACTCAGTTTATTTTCTGAAATTTTTTTCATAGGATATTGCCACACCTGGTGCGTTTTTAGCAAATCCGTCTCTTGTTTGGGAATTTTACAGCTACAGGAGAGATCTGGTGCTCAGCAAAAAACCAAATCCAGTGAGATGTATTTCATATCTGTATTTTTAAACAAAGATATGTTTCTTTGCAATATATGTTCTAGGATGATAAATTGTTTTTAGGCTCACTATGCGCTAGCCAAAGCTGAAGCACAGTTGGAATCCGAAGGCAGGCGTCTTGTTGTTATTACTCAGAATATAGATGAACTACATAGAGATGCTGGGACAAAGAATCTTCTTGAACTTCATGGTAAAAATTATTATTAACATAGAGAATTTTGCTAGCAAATTGTTTCGGGCATCTACTAAAATGTTTTATGTCAAGTTATCAATATGGAAATATAAGGAATTTTGAAATTTTTATTTACACTTAATAAAATAAAGCTGTTTTTAGTAATAACTTCTGAAATGTTAGTATTGTCTTGCATTGAAATACTTACTTAGTGCCAAATGCTGTACACAGTTTATACCTGTTCAATTTATATACACATTAACTCATGATTATAGATTTCATTAACAAGTGTTTAATGTTGCAAAAGTATCAAAATGTTTTTCATATGCTGAATATTTACTATTTTAAACCATTTTTGGTTTGTGCATTAAATAAAAAGGAATGATTATCTGCTATATAGCTGTATTAGTAATAAAATTAAAAAGAGCATTGTACAGTACAAAGCTGAGAGAGCTAAATTTCCAGTGATTGAAAGTGCTTTCTTTTAATTAAAGAACATTCTGAAGAATACAATCATAAAACTTAAAAAGATTAAACATTTAAATAACACAGTTATGATTTTCCCATTTTCACTACATAATGTGTATATTAAATTGAATGTTGAAATAAAATATGCTATAAATGCTATCTGAAGATGGTAGTTGGATGTTTTTATGAGCAATATATTTTTCTGTAAAGTATTGTTATTGAATTGTATGTTTTGATTATTCTAATATATCTTGAATTTCACACCTGACATTTAGTTAGTGAGTCAGTCTGCAAGTTAGTGTCTCGAATTTTTAGAATAGCCTGCTGTTCAGCTTTTAGACTTATAACTAATTAACTATAAATTTTAATGAAATGCAAAATTCATCTTATATATGAGTTTAAATGATAAAGTGGCTTGGTATAATATTGTTGCGTGTGTATGGGTTTGTAATAGATTGCATGTGTGTAGCTCCGATGATAGATTGATTTTTATCGAAAGAAACACTTCAGACATCTGGACCTTTTCACAAAAATAGTCATTCAGTTCTTCTCAATATTACAGAGTTCAATCAAGAGTTGCACTTCAAAGTATTGTGAACGTTAAACACAATGTAATGCAAAGTGCAGCTAAAGAGAAAGCTACCCAGAGATAACTCAGTGCTATGAACTTGTGCCGAGGTAACAGCTAAAAACAACAACAACAACACAAAAAAAAAAAAAAAAAAAAAAAAAAAAAAAAAGAGAGCATGTGCTTTCTGTCCAACCTTATATAGTTTTCACCCAGCTGCCGAGATATTTCTAGTACCTTCTGCTTCTTGATATTACTGGAGGGCAGTACGAGGTCCGAGTTACGGTCACAGCTAATAAAGTGAACAGTTCCATTTATTCAATTTCAATACCCATTATGGTGATGCAGAGATGGGACCAAAATGGCTACTAGTTTGGTGATTTATCGCCAAATTTGTCAACTAAATAAGTCGCCAAAACCATTGCCAGCTTGGTGATATCTCGCCAAATTTCCGAGATACCTATTAACTTAATGTGAAGTGGACTTGTTCCTGTATTCTTACTTTTGTGGCATAGCTTATTGCTGTAGATTTTTCATGTTATGTTATGCAGAATAATATAACAATTTCGCATTACACTATGAGGACTACATACTATGACTATAGTAAGAAGCTAGCCTGTCATAGTAAACGACTTAAAGCTTAGAACTCTATGACTTACAGATCCGAACTAAGACGGCATTCAGCTTGTTTAGGACTATGTAAGGACCATTCTAAGGTAACTGTAGTTTCCACAACCATATCTTGTGACTTTCGTTTAATTGATGTCCTATAGCTCTCATGTCATACGAGGTCTTCATCTTCTCCGTTGCCAAGATGACTTGCTCTCATGCAAAATTGTGCATCACTTCAAACCATGTCTGAAGAGGTTATTAAGGATAGTCCAATTAAACCTCTCTAACATACCACCTCACTGGGAATGTAAAGGTGTCATTTGGGTTTTTTCGATTCCAAGTCAAATTTTTTCCTTGTGATCGGAATCTAACTAAAGAGGCACTCCGAATCTAGAAATTTAAAGCTGTATCATTACCTATGCTATTGTAACAGCCTCTTGATCAGGAATAGGATACGCTTCAGGCCACTTGGTGAAGTAATCAATGGCAACGAAGATGTATTTGTTGCTGTTGCCATCAGCAGTTTGTGGCAGAAGTCCCAGGATGTCAAAGGTGATACATTCAAAAGGCGCTTCTACATTGTAATGTTGGAGTTTGGCTTAGCTGCGTTTCTTCTGTCTTTTTTGACCTATGCAGGCATTGCAAAATTGACATCACTTTTCTACATCTTTCCTTGCATTACTCCAGTAGAAGTGCTCTCAAACTGTATGTAATGTATTCATTATTCCTAAGTGGCCTCAGGTTGGACTGCTATGTTATTCTTTAAGGATGTCTGGGATCTTGGAAGTATCAACTGCCATTAAAAAGTCTTTTCATCATCCAATTTGAACTTCTGGTACAAGATGCCATTTCAAATATCAAATGAGTCCCAGAGAAGCCAATATTGTTTTGTCATAGGGCTATGTCCGAAGACAGGGAAATGTCGAAATGTCCTGCCAGACAGGTTCTTATTTAGATTCCATTAAATTAGATATGGTTTTAATATTGCTGTCTTCCAACTGTCTTTCCTGACTTCTTCGTCAGTCCATGGGTCTGAGTTAGACGATATTTTATTGGTAACTTGATGTAAGACTGAATTAACCAGCTTGTATTTTGCTTCGACCCTGGAGCAATGTCGGTAGTGTTCCGGACAGAGTCTTCTGGAGAGGGCATCAGCATTTCTCTGTGACGATTGTTTCCTTCAACAGATACTTGTACTATATTCTTGAAGTTTTTCCAGCTTAGATAGATACTTGTGCCCCAGTGTGCCATGACATGGTTTTTATCTTTTTTCTTGTGACAAAACAGTATCAATACTTTCATTGCTCGCATGTGTGTCGGCAATAAATGGCTTGTTGAACTAATTTAAAGCCAGGATTGGAGCAGATGTTAAAGTTTCCTTCAGTTTGTTAAATGCATCCTTAGATTCTTTTGTCCATAAGAAATTTTCTTTGCTCTCTGTCAGTTTGTTTAATGGTCTTGCGATGGAAGAAAAGTCCTTTATAAATCTCCCACAGTAGGTGCAAAGCCCCAAGAAACATCTCAGCTGATTCACATTTTTGGGATCTTTCCCAATCTTTAACTGTTGTGCAAATTTTTCTTCTGGGTCTGTATATACACCTTTGGCAGCAATGATAATATGTGTAAGATAAGTCACTTCCTTTCTGAACAATTTACATTATGGGAGACTTAATTTCAGACTGATTTCCTTCAATTTCTTCATCACTATCCTATTATTTTCTACATGTTCTTCAAGAGTTTTCCTAATAATTATGATGTCATCCAGGTATATTAAACAGGCTTCGTAGGAAAAACCTGTCAGCATTCCAATGTTGCCGGTGCATTACATAGTCAAAACAGCATCGTCTTGAATTGCCAATGTCCTTGTCTGGTTGTAAAAGCTGTCTCTTTCTCCATCATCAGGATGTATCTGTACCTGCCTATAATATACACTTTTTAAATCAAGCCTCAAAAACCACTTGCTTCCAGAAATAGTCTCCAGAATGTTATCAGTTCTAGGAAGAGGGTGGATGTCTTCATAACCTCATTCAAACAACAATAGTAGTTAATGCAAAATCTAGTTGAACCATCTTTCTTTCTGACGAGGGTGATAAGAGATGCCCATGAACTTGCTGGAAGTTCGATGACATCGCTTTCTTGCATGTCCTTTAAAAGTTTTCTTACATCTTCCTGTTCAGCAATCAGTAGACATTTCGAATGTTGCTTGATTGGATGATCAGTTCTATGCTGTGTCAAACTTGTTCAACCCACGTCAGAGATGAACTGTAGAAAACATCTTGAAATTCTTGAATGACACATTAGGCAGCACTCCTCTCATCATCACTTAATTGTGCATTCTGCAATAAATCTGATGTACTGTTCTCTGAAGACATGAATTCAGGAGGGTCACCGTTTCGTTTAACGCTGGTCGCTGCAACCACTTCATCTTAATGATATTTACTCTATCATCGGCATTAACAATTCTCACTGGGATAACTATTTTTGATAATTTGATGAGCACCGGAGCTACTAATACTCCTTGCGGGATGTTACGATTCTTGGGATACTCCAATATACTGTATCAGACATTTCAGTTTTCGGCCATGTATCCAGGAAGTAAAAATTCTGTTTTTGCTGTACTGTGATATCGGCATGAGCTATGATTTGATCGACAAATTTAACTCCTTCATCGTTAATTGTGAATAAGGTTTTGTCCTAGAGGCAGAATGCAGTTCATTATTTTTAAAGTCCAAGAAAAAATTGTATTTCTTTAGAAAATTCAATCGGAGTATGCAAGTATCTTTAATATCTGCCACATATGCCATGTGATGGTAGGCAGCACTTCCAAAAGTGATGTTAATGTTTAATTATCCATCGATGTTGATTTTCTCCCCATTTACTGTCTGGAGGCTAATGCAGGGTAGCGTCTAGATGAGTTTATCTTCCAGTTGTTGAGCTAAATCTTTTCCAATGATGGTAACATTTGCTCCTATATCGATGTTCATAATGCAAGGAAATCCAATGATATGTTCCATGATGAAGAGTTCATTACTGCTGCCACTCATAGCAGAAATCTGAAGGGCTTTGAAATGGGGCTTCTCATTATCTGGCAACCTCTGCTGTGCAAGGTAGCCAATAAATAGTTCCCCTGCTTCTTGCTGGGAGCAATCTTAGCTTCTGTACCCTGGGATGTTCTGCAGTTTCTTCGTATGTGGCCCTTAGTGCTGCAGTTCCATCACTTCAGGGTTGGTTTCTTACCACTCCTGTTCTGTCTCAAGGCATTGTCTTATCTGGTTAAGCGCAGTCATTTGATTCACTGGCTCCTGGACCTGGGCAAGTGTGATTGGGTGGCTCTGTACTTTGCTTGCTGGGCTGCCTTGAATTTTATGCGCATGATGTGCCATTATTGCTGAAGAACCAGTC